AAACTTATACGAATTAAGGAAAATTACGTGGTCAACGGCGACCACTGTATATATATGATGGCCAAAAGTGCAATAAGAAAGAAAAACCTTTTCATTTGTGGTATGTGTGATAGTGCCATGACATGTCGAGGGGCCAAAGATAAATCGTGTTGTAACTGATAGAGCGCATGACAATATGAGATAGACAAAAGCATCGCATGCAAGAAGTTGAGGCATAAAAGTGCCTTAAAGGCCATTCAAGCAACCTCTTCAGAAAAAAATATACTGGCTGAAAAGCAATGACCTTTTCCGTAAGCATCCAAAATAAGCCAGAATCGCAACTTACCGTCCGCGTCCTCGTGCTTGAAGAGATCTTCAGTGCCGAATTTGAGGATGTCATCGAGTTCCTTCTTGGACATCTGGCTGGCACCCTTACCGCCCAGACCAGGTCTCACGACGAGATGAGTGAGCATCATCTTCTTCTTTGCCACCTGAGTGACCCGTTCCTCCACCGTGTTCCGCGTCACGAAACGGTAGATCATCACCTACGGGGGAGAAGGGGGGGGGCGGAACAGGAAGAATGTTTACAGGGTCATGATCACCTCAGTCAGAGATTACACGGCATTCTTATCGTATGTCTGGTAAATAAGCCAATGAGCACTGACTGGGAAAGTAGTTCTCAACAGCGAAAAAATATGCATGGTATGCCTTTACTGTAATATGCATATATGCTATCAGATAAGAAAAATTACCCGAGTAGTTGGGACGAGACATAATCTCAAGTTTTTTTTTCATATACACCGAAAAAAGCACCAGATGTTGACACCCGAGTAAAGTTGGTAGGTCTTTGCAAACATATTTGATTGGTTGGATTGGGCGGTCTTGCGATAAATTCGAGGAAATTATGTATTTCCGCTCCTTAACTACAACCCTACTTCTTGAATTTAGCGCAAGCTCACCTGTAATGCGGGAGCGCACCTATTTCAGAGTCCCACTCAGTCGATTTTTAATAACGTCGTCGCACTCGACGCTAAGGTTCGACCTTAAAGTACCACTGACCTATGTATTTGTCGACGTCCGTAGATAACTGTAAGATTTCTAGCTTAGGGGGTATGCATGCTCTCAAAAGAACCCTCGTAAATTCTTCATGTTAATGTGAAAGAGTTCATTATTATTATTTCTACAGACAGTAAGCTAAATCCCTGCCGCAAAAGCATGCGATTATGGCTGCAACAAGGGGCAGGCTGGGTAATCAAAATCGATCGGCCAGTGGGTATTGTGATACATGCAAATACTTTAAAATATATTTCACCCCATTAAATACTAAATGTCAAAAAGATTTGTTCAGATAAATTTAAGTAAGAAACAAATCTTGTGCAAAATTTTCAAACAAACTACAGTAGAACCTCGGGTGACGAGCAGCCCCGTCTACGAGCATTTCAGATAATGAACAAACCACTAGCAGGAAAATTGTTTCGAGTGAACAGCTTCCGCTCAGTTAAGGTCTTGTCATTGCGTGTGTGTGTGTGTGCCTGTGTCTGCCGTTGAGTCTTACTCCCAGGACGCGGGTCCTTGGTCGCCTACAGCCAATCAGTGGATTGGTGCAGTTTTATTGGCTACGTTTCGCAAGACGAGTGTCTTACATGGCGAGCTCAGTTACTGGACGGATTAAACTCGTTAATTGAGGTGCTACACCTTTATGGAAAACGTATACTGTTTTAGTCTTCCCTATTATTGAGGGCTGGTTTCGCAGCTAGAAGCATTCCCGATGAAAATGCAGCATGCTACGGCATGTTAATTAGCGTGGGCTGGTCTTCAGTTAGACGACAATGATGATGGTGGTGAACAAAAGATAATTAAAGAGTGTCGACGACTCACCTTGTTGGCCTGACCGATGCGATGAGCTCTGGAGAAGGCCTGAATGTCATTGTGCGGATTCCAATCCGAGTCATAGATGATGACGGTGTCTGCAGTGGCCAGATTGATGCCGAGACCGCCGGCGCGGGTGGAGAGGAGAAAGACGAAGGAGAGCGAGTCCACGGCGTTGAAGCGATCGATAGCATCCTGACGCATTTGACCTGTCACAGCACCATCGATGCGCTCAAACTTGTAGCCGGCGGCGTCCAGAAAGTCCTCCAGGAGGTCCAACATTTTGGTCATCTGGGAGAAGATGAGGACGCGGTGGCCGCCAGCCTTCAACTTTTTCAACATTGCACCCAGCAGCTCTAGCTTGCCGGAGGCCTTTCGCAGGGAGTTGCCCTCGTAGGCGCCGTTGCTGAGACGAGGTGCCTCCTCGGCTGCCGAGGGGAAGAGGTAGGGGTGGTTGCAGCACTTCTTCAAGTCCATCATGATGTTAATGAGGGAGACCTGGGTGCCACCGCCGCGACAGCTCAGTGCGTCAAAGTTGCGCGTTAAAATGAACTTGTAGTACTTTCTGTGGGAAGGAAAATGTAAAAGAGGGTGAGAGGCACCACTACCCAAGTCATAATCCTAAACCTTAACACTAATTCTAATCTCCTGGAAATTGGCAGATACCCGAATAATAGCCAACTACACAGCGAGTCAGTAGAACTAATTGCTTGGATGATCTATTGTACATAATTGGACTTGTTAGATTCACGTGAGGAGTTTAATTTTTGCGGACTTGAAAAATGACAATATTATAACACTTGAAGGGACAAGTTTGATGTTATCTGAGTATTCCAGTATAATCGACAAGACGCCATTCCGACAACGGTAAGAATGAGTGGCCCACCAGCAAAAAAAGATCTGTATCGTTTTTTCACTAAAAGTCATCCGCCGTTGTGCGACACGAGAAGGGGCCAACCAGGGTAGGCAGGCCCTAGTGACCAGCCAAGTCAGCCAACCGAGGATTATCAGCCATAAAAAGTCAATTTCTGGCTAAATATTTGAAATGAGACTGCATCCTTGTCCAGGAGAGGGCACTTGTCGAGACTTGTCTACTTGAAAACGTAGATAGTTTAAAATGCCTCGGGGTGGGGCTGCTGCCGAATGGACAGGGTAAGATCGGCATTGTATCCCGAAACAAGACTGCCGGTCAAGCTTTAGAAAATGTCTATGGACCCGACGCGACATCCCCGTGGTCCAGAAAATTCGCGTGTATAGTACATTCGTTCGGTCTGTTTTTCTCTATGGCTGTGAATACAAAGTTATGCGCGTGGAAGACAAACGAAAACTGGAGGTATGTGAACACCACCGCTTGAAGACCATCCTACGAGTGAAGTACATCGACTTCGTCTTAAGTAAGACCGTACTCGCTGCAAGAGCATCGTAGGGATAGCCCAAGCAATCTAAGAAAGACGACTGAGGTGATTCAGACACGTTCATTGCCTTCCGCCACCTCACGAGATTAGGCTTACTGCCCTCGATCCGGCACCGTTACCTAACTGGAGACGTCGAAGAGGGGGCTCAGCTCAAAAACCGGTTCGACACACGGCTCGCGGATCTTCGGTATTCGGCCTCCATCGTTGGCGAAGATAATATATTGAACTGTTTAGGTCTGCTGTCCCGGATTATCGCGCATGTAAAGGTAAAACCCGTTAAATCATCGAGGTCGGCAGGATCAGGCATGATCAAAGCCGTAACCAGT